TATATATAGTGTTTTATTTTGAGATAGGCATAGTACCATATGCCTTATTACTGTGCATTTGATACTGAGACATGCTTTAAAATTAAAAAATATATATAATAAAAAAAAACATAAATCTCGTGACACCCCCCCGCAGTACCTCCACAGACCCACTAGGGGGTCATGACCCCATCACTGAAGACCTCTAGTTTAAACTGAACTAGGCACAAAAAATTGAGGAACTTTCTGTTTGATAGATTGTTTTTATGTTGTACCAATGCTACTTGGCAGTCAATCTTATWCTGTTGCAAAGCCTGTTGATTTCTCTTTAAAATGGTGCCACATTTGTGAGGAACATGCATTTGTGGGATGAGCAGTAGAGCTGAGTATGTGGGTTGKACASATGGAAAAATTGCCAAATATTCTATGCCAAACATTTTATTTTGCTGTTGTYATTGACACTYGTTTTGAGCTTCTGTTACCTCYAGGTGCTGCCAATYAGATGCCTGCTCTAAGATTTATTGCCAAGAAGCATTGTTACAACCATGAAACACAAATTTCTATAYGTTTGTGCTAATTTTATATAAAACYGTAAATGYGATGGTTTAMATAAWCTCCTCTCTAGCTGTTAATTATAGGGCYAAAGCTTAGGGCCAGTCAGGAGGCTAAGAAATGTGTTTTGACCTTAAAGTCACAGGACAGGTCCATCAATCTAAAATATTTGCAATTCCTTCTCTCTACCAAATGAACTGTTTTCATCCGTGAAAGGTCAAGTGACTTTTAAATACTCCGAATGGATGTCTGACTATATAGGTTGTGTCTTTTTGACAAACATAAACTGATWAATTTTTTTAAAAGGTCCTGGTCCCCTGGAGCCAAAGACAATGCCTTCAATGATCTGCGCTACATATGGGGAGGCTTTGCTTATCTCCAGGACATGATGGACCACGCCATTATTCGCTTGCACACATCAAAGACTCAACCTCTTGGTGTTTTTGTTCAGCAGATCCCATATCCTTGCTTTGTGGATGATGCGTGAGTATAAAAACTTTTTTCTTCCTTTTTTCCCCCGCCGTAGACAATCCGAATGAAGGTATTACTCCTCTACATTTGTGCCCACATAGGGGGCTTGCTGCTCATTGCTACCACATGGCTGAGTAATGATCCTATCAGTGACATAAGCTCTTTTAGATTTCCCCTGTGGACAGATGCTTCCCTTTGTTGATCTAATGCACCCTTTTTTTAATATCTGCGTTGTTATGCCTGTGTCCTGTGTGCTTGCTGATCAAAGTTGAACTCCCTAGGTAATGACTTTGTTTTAAGCAATTAATAAAGGGTGGCATCTTTGACAGTAAATTTAATCACAACTTGAGGGGTCAGAGAAGGACTGGGAATGGATGAAGGCAGTGAGAGACAGAGAGTGGGTCAAGACTATTGATTTTAGCCAAACCACAGGAAGTTTCCCAGTAGTTAGTTGCTATTTGAATTATTTAAGGAATAACTTTGAGTTTGTTCCTTTCTCGTATTTCATTCTCACCAAACTGAGCTTTACTCCAATCTGTCAGCAGYATTTTCTGTTTGTGTTTATTTGGGTCATGCAGATAGCCTTTGCTTCTTAAAATTGTATGTCTTTTTTTACCAGAGAGTAAGAATGGGCAATGAATTTCAAATATTAAAAAAGTTGTTAAGGAATCCATCCAGCCAGCCATCCATCCATCCATCCATCCATCCATCCATCCATCCATCCATCCATCCATTTGGTTGGGCTGTAGGGAAACCCAAACCTCCCTCTTCCTTTCAACACTGTATCCAGCTCCTCCTGTTGGAACTCAATGGAGGTGTTCCCTTGTGTTCACTCCCATACCCTAGAAAAAAGGATTAGCAAGTTTACAAATTGACTAAAACCTTAAAGCACTGCAATAAATCCTACAAAACCTTCACCGTTTACCCCCCTCCCCATTTTTTTCCAGTTAAGACATTTGGACATTTCCATAAATTATTGACACTCGAAAACTGACTTTTCTTTTATAAATTATTGAGAGCGACAACAAAAAATGGCAATATCTTCTGAAACACAGAGAGCTGTGATGTGGAAAAACTCCTGAAGGTTTTTTTCCTTTTCATCCTGAGATGTTTTACCAGACATGAGGGATCGCAAGGGCTTTTATACAGTATGTTGGCAGTCAGCTGTTGTTTGTGCTTCTTTTTGGAAAAAATACTTTTGAGGGACGAATAAACAAAAACACATAAGGAGACATGCACTTACATCATCGCCCTGACTTTAATAGTCAGAAATGTTAACTACATGAYGTAAAATATCTAATAGAACTACAGTATTAGTTTCCTCGAGGCTCTTTAACAAACACCTCTTTTTAACATCATATTTAAAAATTAGCTTCAAATTTATATTGAGATCCTTCCACATATAAATAAATAAATCAATTGGAGCCCCTCCACCTAATTTTTTTTTTTGGTTTATGTAAACTTAAGTTCTGTGAATGATTAAAATAATTGTTAGTGCTGTTAGATTTAAGTAGGGTCACAGTTTTCCTCTATAACTGGAGAACGGAAGAACATTTGGAAAAATKGGATAATTCACAAAAACAATTCTCCGGTCAAACAGAGTCACYGTGCTACAGAGGCCAGGACAGTGGATGCATGGGGTCATTCTAACAGATCTTCAAATGTCCATTGCAGAGCTGGGAGACCAGCCAGAATTACAGCCATCTCCGCAGCATCCCATCAATCAGAGCTTAATGGCAGAGCGGCTGAATGGAAGCTACTCTTGAGTTAAACCCATAAGACAGCTGCTGTTGARTTTGCAGACATTTAAAAGGCCGTGGCGAGCACAGGGGAAAAGGACAATCTGGTTCGATGGGACAAAAGTTGAACTTTTGCAGGGGAACTTGGTGTCAGACAAACACAGTCACTGTTGGTCTTATAGCCCAAGGCACGGAGCGGTACTGTCACTCTGTCACTGGGCTCTGGTGAAGTGGTTCTCTACTCCACGGACAGTAAAGATTGGTCAGGACTGGGAGAAAAGACGAGTAAAGCCAAATACAGGAGAGCATTAAGATAAGTCTGCGTCATCTGGGACCTGTGTGGGGGTTGACCTTTGAGTAAGATTGATTTTTATTTCAAGTTAGACGAGCTGAAGCCTGAAGAGTGGAAGGCAGGTGACTGTCCAAACACTAAAAGTCTGCACTGCAACTCTGTGAAGAATAAAATGCTGTCTAYAAGCTTCATGTATTATTTAAGTAATAAAAATAACCATAAGACCATATTTTTAAAGGGTGCCAAATTAGCAACTACCCGAAATTCCAACATTAGTTTAATACTGAAATATCAATTTTATGAGCACAATATTTTTCATCAAGCTGCAACTTTGATTATTTAATTTCTGTTCAAAGCTGTGTGGGGTATAAGACAAAAATTGTGGAAATCTTTTAGTACTGTAGATGTTTTAATGTTTTTATGCGTTTGCACTCATAATAAGTATTTTTTCTCAGACTGATCAATAAACAGAAGAGCTACYAGATCCCTCTTCACCACAACAGATTGGTACAGAGTTCACATCATTGCAGAAGCCGCATCGATCAGTGGTCATAAACCTTGAGTAGTGATTAAAAAAAGATTGCTGATACTAGCAGTTGAAATGGGTTTTCTTTAAATGATAGCTGGACTTTCCTGTAGAGATAAGAAGTTGTTAGTTGGGGGAAGACTCAAAATCGAGCCGCTGCTTCTTCACATTGAGAGGAGCCAGTTGAGGCAGTTTGGGCATCTRGTRAGGATACCTCCTGGATGYCTCCCTAGGGCAGTGYTTCAGGGATGTACAATCTGGAGGAGATCCCAGGGAAGACCCASGACACRCAAGACYATTGGCCTTTTTGCACTGCAAGGCCCAGCCTGGGTTCAAATCTTGGTTCAGCGTATTTTGCACTTTTCCTTAAAGCCTGGTTCCGCCCCAATTTCTGGAAGCCCAATGTCTATGGTTCAATTCAAGCCGACTTGATGTCAATTACTGATGAGCACTGACGTGGTCACTGGCCGGAGGGATCATGTCACACAGATAATATTAACTTTACTTCAATAGTTTATGACTAACATTATTTTTTTCACATAAGTTCAACTAAACAGCAATTGCAGCAAGCTACCAAGCAACAACAAGCTAACATTAGCTTACCATCCTATGTCGTCTTGTCCTCTCGCTTTCWGCGTCATACTAGATGGTTCGGTTCAGTCTTCTGTACTTTCCCTTCAAGTTTGGTGTAGTCCATTGTTGTGTCATAAGTAAAATGAAATAAGATTCATGCGTTTTTGATATGAAGAGCCCTGCCCGTATTGAGGCGACACAAGAGCTGTTCGGCAAACACTGAGTTGTGACTTAAAACACAACTGTACTTAAATGCTAATTTAAAGAAAAATAGGATCCACATGGCACTTTGAGTCTGCACTATATAAAAGAACACATTCATATTCATCTTTTTAAACAAAACTAATACCAGCAATAAAATGAAACACAAAGTTAAGTTCCCCTGAGTGCGTTACTCACTTCTTATTGACTGAGCGATTTATTTGCTCAAAAATGAGACAAGAAGCTTTATTTTTTTCCCTACCCTTTTTCGGCATGGCACGCCAACCTCTGTGGAGATTGTGCTCTGCTATCTCTCAATTTATCCGTCTCCCAGCTTCTCTAAATTTAGGTTTGCCTGTCGCTGTAACCGGAGCCCCGTAACACAGACCCGCCTCAGGTTCTATTACTTAAGCACCTTTGATCGATCAGCAACTGCATTATTCAGGAGAGTCTTGGTGGCAAGGTTGTCAGTGTCAGACTTGGTGTGCATGACTGATGTCTTCGCCTCTGGGGGGGAAAGACATCCCGAAAGGAGTTACCTCTCACAGGCTGCCTGTTTCTGTGAAAATGTTCGGTGGAATCAGGAGCAGATAACTCTGAAATTAGTATTCAGCTTTGGGTACATCTTCGAAACCTTCCCAGAAAAAAAAGTGCTCATGTATCAGTTAGCCATCTGTGGAAGTGAGTCGTTTTAGTGGTCTCTTCAAAGAGATGGTTTTATTTTTGTAAGCCAGTGTGGGAATTTGGATTTAGTCRCCTTGTGTATGAACTTTTCGACAACCCACACTCAGACATTTTTTTTCAAAGGTGATTCATCCCACGAGGGTTGTGGAAGTGTCCTAGAAAACCTGAGGCTCTCTCACATTCAAGTTCTTGTGTGGCTGAACTTCTTCCTTAAGCTGCTCACTGTAAAAAAAATCCAACTTTGTTTTTTTTTTTTGGGATGAAGAACAATTTTCAGCTGAAAAAACTTGAAAAACTAAGTCTTATTGGGCACAATAATTTAAGTYGGTCCAAAAAACCAAGGCAGTTGTAATCTTAAACATTATTTTGTGAGTTGTCAGTACTTATATCTCTAAGTTGTAGGTCATTGCAACAGATGACAGTGCTGCTAACTTACATTCTTTTGTTTTGAAATGCGGGAAAGACAACTTTGGGAGTTGATTTTTGAGTTCAAGGTACTTTCACAGAGATAACTTTTGTTCTTATATTTCTGGTTTGTATTTATCCAGTCCAAACTTAGTGTTAATAATGTTTAAAAGAATGAGCAGAAACTCGATTTGAAAGTATTTGTTTTCCCTCTTCCTGCTTCTTCCTCCAATCAGCTCAGATGTCAGAGTTCTGGCTCCGCCTCTTTGTTGCTGAAATGGATAATTTTCTGAAAACACCTCTGAAAAAGACAAACACTTTAATCTGTGATTCATGAACCATTTTGAGTTGTGTTCTGTTGTCACATTCAGGCTTTATTTGGTATCTGTGTTGAGTTTTGGTTACTGACTGTAGCTGACACCACGAGTGAGAGGTCTGTGTTACAGACATATAGAGGGAAAAAGGCCAGGACAATTAAGTGTCACCAAGTACTAGTCCTGATGGTTGAGTAAGGTCTTGTCTGTAYTGACACATGGTCATGCTAATGTAGTCAACAGTAGCAGATAACTCTCTGCTAAACATTTTTTCTACAAAAAACAAAAGGAAAACATTGATGCAATGATAAAATTTGAATTATTGCAACTCACAGTGAAGTTCACAGTATTCAGGATTTATAGTTGTTAAAATTTATAGTAACTGGAGTAATAGAAACATTTTGTACAACTTAAAATTAAAAGTTACTGCAACTTTCATGTGAAGTAGAAGACTCAGCATACAAAGTTCTTACAACCTAAAACTTTGTTTCTATAACTTTTGGTTGAGTTACAAAAACATGGAAATCAAAGTTTGGYGAACTCAAAAGCAAAATTTAAATAGTTAAGTTGAAGTCCAAAACTTAAAAATGCCCTGAAGTTTGTTGCCTCACAATTTTGAGTTCTGCCAACTTTTCTTTTTTTACAGTTGGCAAAACAGTCRTAAGACTTCTTAATCTTTTAAAATGGAGGCCTTGTTGGTCATTTTAACCCAAGGGCAGCAGGRGGGTTAAAACAATTAAAATTCCATCAAATTGAAGTTTCAGTTACGGGTGAAGCAAATTAAACATGGTACAATAAGTCAGTTTTTGAGGGTTTGAGCTCAAATTTGATGGAATAGCTAAAAGGGATTACAAACACAATTCAGGCACTAAAGGGATTTTTGTATCATAAGGCCTGGCCTGGGTATTTGCATTAGTTGTTATGACCCAACAGCCTGATTTCTGGAAACCAGATACTGTACCTGTAGTTCTATTTGGGCCTGGCTGCTTGGCCCTGTTTGATCTCAGATACTGTTGCCCATTGATTGGTTGCTTCAGGGATGTCTGACTGGGAGACTTTGAGGAAGACCCAGGAAAGGATGGAGAGACTGTTGGCYTGTTTGAAATGCAGGGCCTGGTTTGAGTTTAGCGTGTTTTAGTTAGCCCTTATAGCCCAGTTCCACCTGATTCCTGGATGGTGCATCTATTTGGGATGATTTGACGTCAGCTACTGTTGACCTCTGATTGGTTTACTGACCAGGAGTCAGGTCAAACAGAATTCAACCAAGTATCAACTGTAGCAAGATACTAAGCAATAAGATACCATTAGCTACCATTAGCTTACCAACCTCTGGCATCTTGCTCTCTTGTCTTCAGCATCATACTACTGACTGGTCTGGTGCAATCTTTTGTACCAGTGGCGGGCAGCGCTAATCCAAAATTTAGCTCCGCAATTTCTAAAGCACTTATGAAAATATTTAGGTCTGCAACTTCAAAAGCACTTATGCCATAGAAAAACTAGCAGAAGCTAATTTTAAAGCGCAAGTTCAGTTTGACACTTACTGGCTGGCAACAATTCATGTACAATATATGCACAACACTGCCAACTAGCAGTGTATGAACTCGTTTACAACTTAATTC